TATACATGTAGAAAATTTGATTATCTTTCAGGTTGTAAGATTTGAGGCTTTCACGGCGGTGACTATGAAGAAAGCAGTCTTCTGGGATTTGGCACCGTGTATATGTGGTGTTAACCGACGTTTCGGAGACTGCTTTACCGTGTCTCACGGTGTTGTCGCTTGCAGATTTACCTATACTTCTTCAACCCTGAAGATGGGGGCGATACGTTCCTCCGAAACGTTGGTTAACACCACATATACACGGTGCCAAATCCCAGAAGACTGCTTTCTTCATCTTTCAGGTTGTTTTTAGTTCATATTTCTTTGTTGCATAGAACAGAAAATATGTATTTTTTTCCTGAAAGTTTGCAATGTTAAAGACTTAGGGCAATTTAAATTCTGCTTGCAGAGGGCTGCCGGCAATTTAATAGTCCGTATGTTAAATATTAATCCAAAAGTCAGTTGACTTTCAATGAACTATAAATTGATATGTCCCAGAAGATAGTACTCTTCGTAACTACTGCTGTGAGAACCTCAGATCCCACATAGTTATCTCTCTTCTTAGCAAAACATCTGACTTATTAATTCCAGGGAAAAGGATCAATCTTGAGAAGCTAATAGTCTATCAGTTACTCAGATAATTCACAGCATTTTATTACAGCTGAAGATTCATTACCACGGTCACAAGAGCCTGCCACTTGTCCTTATCCTGAACCAAAGTAATGCAGTCCCCCTTCACACAGATATGACCACTCCAGCTTGGAAAATAGATTTTAAATTTTGTTTACGGTACAGAAATTTCAGATTTGCCATGCTCTGTCTAATCTGTAACATAGTTCTTGTTTTGTTTCTGGATATAGGCCTGACAAATGTAGTTAAGAATGTAGTTAAGCGCACAGTCATATTAAATAATGAATTATGGGAGGAAATTTATTTGTTAAAGAATGTAAATGAACTATATTGGCTATTTATAAATAAGTTTTTAATATTATTTTAGTAGAATGTTTCCATTGAAACTAACAATGAAGAGAGATATTAAGAATAATTCATGGATGTATAAAGGAATAAATGTTTTATGTCAGAAAATGAGG